TACGTACTACCGTACTACCTACCTACCTACCTACCTACCTACCTACCTACCTACCTACCTACCTACCTCTCTCTCTCTACTCTCTCTACTCTCTCTCTCTCTCTCTCTCTCTCTCTCTCTCTCTCTCTCTCTCTCTCTCTCTCTCTCTCTCTCTCTCTACAACCATTCCCCAAAGCAATATCCTTTATTCTTCTCTTCTCATTCTTACTCTCTCTCTCACTCTCACTCTCCTGGTATTTCCAAAACCCCCATTTTCATTTTTTTTATTTCCCCCTTTTTCCCTTCTTTCCACCTCTCTTGTGCTATTTTCTTTACAGAGATATGCTAATGGGTGTAGAGACCATGGGGTGCATTCACCTCAGAAACCCTAACCGCTTGCTTTCTTCACCAGTCTCAGTGGGGTCTCACCAGAGGTGCTATGGGGAATGCCAAATGAATAGGGCTTCGAAGAGAGGGGGCCAGGTGCCCAGGGTGAGCTGCCTTTCTTTTGCTCCCATGGAATCTGCAAAGATTAAGGTGGTGGGTGTGGGAGGTGGGGGGAACAATGCAGTTAACCGAATGATCGGCAGTGGACTCCAGGTCTCTCTCTCTCTCATTTTTAATCCACAATTTTTTCCGTTTGTGTTGTTTTCTTTTTTTTCTTGCATTTTATTGTCTTGGGGTTTCGATTGTTTATCCATTTCTTTTGTTTCCTAGCGTCTTCGTTATGGGGGAGTTATAAATTGCTTGCAGGAATGGAATGAAATGTCTTTTATGCATTTTTTGGGGATTTGAGCTCAAAAAATGATGTTTAATGGGTTTCAAGCGTTTTTATGACTGGTAAAGCTACATTTAGTTTGATGCCTGTCGTTTGGAAATGCTGCGTTCCGTAGGCAACTATTGGTCGTATTTGCATTACTGAAATTCTAACTATTGGTTCAAAAAAAGATGCAAGTATATGCCCAGTGCTTTGATATGCCACATCTTTACTATGAGTTGAGGTCATTTCCTTTTATTTAATGGGGGAGAAAATTCATAAACTTGGTTGCCGCCATGTAGAATTACTGTTATGGCTTGCATAATGGGACTTAAAAATACTCATTGTATATTGATCTGGTTATGACTATAGCAACAGAAAAGTGTGGATAATCCAAATTATCAATAGTTTACTGAAAACTGAGCTTCCAATGATAACTTTTGCTTTATCTTGAAAGCAAAAAACTCATAATGATGCATTAATTGTTGTGACACTGTCAAGTGTATAAGTGAACTCTAATGTTTCCTCTCTTTTGAGAAAAATCTATGTTCTATCTTTGTATTTCATGGTTTGTCAGGCATGACATGTATAAAAGTTTTATGTTCATATTGTAATATCCACCGACTATACAAAAACATGGATTCCTTGGGATACTCAGTGAGGAAATATATCTGGGGCTTCATATGAATCCTGAAGAGTCCCATATAGTCATTCATCTATTGTTCTAAATTGTGATAAAAGGTTGCCCATAAAACCATTCTAACTGGGACTATTAATAAGACTAATTGATATTATGGAATTTATGATTTAAAGGTGGTGGCCTGATTTATTATCATGAAAGGTGTGTTAGCAGTTCTTCTCGAAGGGCATAAATGTATCTATAGTTTCTTAGTTTTCATCTCCCTTCTTGTCATACCTTTTCCTCTATCCCTTATGATGTGTGATTTTTTCTGTGTCCTCTGCATTAGGGTGTTGAATTTTATGCCATAAACACAGATTCACAAGCATTAGTGAATTCAGCAGCACAAAATCCTCTTCAAATTGGAGAACTCTTGACTCGTGGACTAGGTATGAAAAATGTAATATTTGGAGACATTTTAGGGCCTCTTTAATACCAAGGATGCTATTCTTTTAACTACATGTTTTTGATATGGAAAATACTATGTTCCAATGGACTATTGAAAACCATAACCTGTTCATTCATCAACATCAATTAAAGTGGTGAATAATGATAGAGAGAGAGGAACCCACGACAACATGATTTGACCTATTGTAGCTCCCACACACTCTCCATCATTTTATTGGATGGTGATGACCGATGACCCAAGGAATTATGGCTTTTCGATGGTTCATTATGTTGCATTATCGATTACTCCCCTTTTGATATTGAAGATTTCTAGTGTACATTAGTATCCTGTATCTTGTGGTATTTAAAATCCCGTGATTAGAGTCATTTCAACACTTCTTGCTCAGGAATGCAGGTATTGGAGGTAATCCTTTGCTTGGGGAACAAGCAGCTGAGGAATCAAAAGAAGCCATTGCTAATGCTCTCAAGGACTCAGACTTAGTCTTTATCACTGCTGGCATGGGTGGGGGTACTGGCTCAGGTGCTGCTCCTGTTGTGGCACAAATATCTAAGGATGCTGGGTATCTCACTGTTGGCGTTGTTACCTATCCCTTCAGCTTTGAAGGTCGAAAGAGATCTCTTCAGGTAGGTTCATTTTGACCTATGTTAAATGCATGCCATGGATATGTTCCTGTCTAGCTTCATGTGTTGTATATAACTTCTCGTATATTACTACAATCGATGACATAGTTTTGATCAATGAGGCCCGAAACGATGTCAACACAAAGTTAGAACTTTGGAGGGATGCTCTAGAATCTAAAGGTTTAAAAATTAGTCAAACTAAGATTGAGTATATGGAATGCAAGTTTAGTAATAAGAGGATTACAGACAAGGAAGTAGTTAATATTGATGGTCAAGAAATACCAAAAAGAGCGCACTTTCGATTTCTTGGGTCTATAATCTATGAAAATTGAGAGATTGATAAAAGTTTCATACCTAAAATTAGAGCTGGGGGGGCGAAGTGGAGATGTGCAATCGGAATTTTATGTGGTTGTCGCATAAGGGCAAGTTCTATAGGATAGCTGTGAGTCCAGCTTCACTCTATGGGGTGGAATATTGGGCAGTCAAAAAACAATATGCCTATAGAATGAATGTAGTAGAGATGAGGATGTTGAGATGGATAAGTGGTAAGACAAAAAGGGATAATAATCAAAATGAATATATTCGGGAAAATTTAGGGGTGGCAGACACCAATACACGATAAGATGAGTGGGAATAGACTTAGGTGTGCTGACCAAGTGTGGCGAAGACCCAGTGCAACACCTATTAGGAGGTGCGAATTAGTTCAAGTGGAAGGCTCAAAAAGGGCAAGGGGTAGGCCCAAAAGGACATGGTTGGAAGTAGTGAGAAAAAATACAAGGACTTTTGGCCTTAGTGAGGGTATGACCTTTAATAGAGCAGAATGGCGGATTGGGATTCTTGTAGCTGACCCTTATTAGTTGGAAAAAGCTTTGACGATAATGATAATGATATTACTCTTAATACATTGTGTGTGTTTGTGTGGCCTTTTCCCCTCAATTAAATTTCATTCTAAATTCTTCATTTGCAAGTTTGTTTTGGGTTACGATGTGTTGTGAAAGGAGCCTGAGATATTAAATCCGGTGTTCTCTCGATTAAAATAAGCAAGAACTCAACAATAATGAATGAAACAAGCGGCTGTAAATCAAGCCAAGGATAAGAAGAAACACTCTTCTTTCATAAAATAAATTCTCTACAAAAAATACCCAAATCTCCTTCTCTAAAAGGGAAACATCCCTATTTTTAGTTATAAATTGAAACCCACAAAAAAAATGCTCTTTATATCCCATGTCAATATCTCTCTCTCTCTCTCTCTCTCTCTTTCTAACTTATTCACATGTTTTCCCATAAATCTCCCTCTCCTACATTAATCTCTCTCTCCCTCTAACTCACGTCCCTACCATTCTTAAAGAAACAAACATCCCCCTTGCTAAAGAAATTTGAGCTTATCCTAAATAAGTAAGTTTTGTTAATTCACTTCTCTTGCCCCATAGTTCAAAAAAAAATAAAAAATAAAAAAATAATAAAACCCCAATAAAAGATCAAAAGTCTACCCACATCTCTGAAAATTTATTTTTAAAAATAAGTGAAAAAACTCCTACGGGCCCCGGTGGCACCCATTTTTTGTGAGGGCTGCTACACCCATCTTTTGTAATTCACTCTTATTCTTGTTAATACCAGTTAACTTTATAAAAAAATAAATAAATAAATGAAAAAACATTTTAATCAATCTACTTCTTTAACGTCTTGGATGTGATTTGCATCATACTTCCTGTGTTAGAAACAAACTCTTCTTGTGTTTTTGCTGTGGTAACATCATCCTCCTTTAGCTAATAGTGAAGCCCTACATCTCGATGCAATTGTTCTTTTAGAGTCATGAGACTGAACACCCTGGGTGCATCAATGTTGGTCATCCATTTGGCATGCATCGTAGGGAACACATTGCTAATTGAGTAATCAAAATCAACCTCCCTTGAAGAAGGATCGTCTCGTGCCAATGAATTTTGTCTCCTGCCCAAAAAACCTTGTTCCAAGCCCGATCTTGGAAGATTTTCCTTGGACATAAGCAAGCACTAACTGATTTTGCAATTTCAGCGCAAATTGCAAAATTTATCGATCCCGATGGCGATGCCCTTAGCTAGTAGCAAAACTGCTTTTGCATAACCCTTAAACTTTAGCGAGTTCAACAAATATTTCATCTGATGTGCCCAAGAACTTGGCAGTTGCTCTAATTATAGCTTCAAGGCTCAGCTGATTCTTCCTTTGATTGCAAGGAAGAAAGGTATGGCCTCACAACTGAGAGTAAGGTGCAAAATGTCAGCTGATTCGCCCTTTGATTGCAAGGAAGAAGGTATGTCCTCACAACTGAAAGTAAGGTGCAACCTAGGTTTATGCATACATGTTTGTCTTCCTTATATGATTCCCTCGCATGAGCTCTCAAATTTAGCATGAGAGCATGTGCTTGCCTTACTTGTTCACGAATGACAAGAGCGGCGGATGCCAACAAGAAGCTAGCAAAAGTCAGCTGACTCAATGTCAAGCCTAAGCCCATGAAATTTGAAACGATATTCAGAACTCTTCCTCCATGATCATGGAAAACTCAAGCTCCTATCATAAAAAAACCTTGTCCCAAGCCTGAGCTTGGAATATTCAAGCACTAACTAATTTTGCGACTATCCTGACCAAAAAACCTTGTCCCAAGCCCGGTCTTGGAAGATTTTCCTTGGAAATAGGCAAGCACTAACTGATTTTGCGATTTCAGCACAAATTGCAAAATTTATCGATCCTGAAAGGTCTTTCAGGAAGTGAGGTTCATGTTTGATGGTGATGCCCTTAGCTAGTAGCAAAACTGCTTTTGCATAACCCTTAACTTTAGCGAGTTCAACAAATATTTCATCTGATGTGCCCAAGAACTTGGCAATTGCTATAATTGTAGCTTCAAGGCTCAGCTGATTCTTCCTTTGATTGCAAGGCAGAAAGGTATGGCCTCACAACTGAGAGTAAGGTGCAAACTGTCAGCTGATTCGTCCTTTGATTGCAAGGAAGAAGGTATGGCCTCACAACTGAAAGTAAGGTGCAACCTAGGTTTATGCATTCATGTTTGTCTTCCTTATCTGATTCCCCTGCATGAACTCTCAAATTTAGCATGCATGTGCTTGCCTTACTTGTTCACGAATGACAAGAGCTGCGGATGCCAACAAGATGCTAGCAAAAGTCAGCTGACTCAATGTCAAGCCTAAGCCCATGAAATTTGAAACAAGATTCAGAACCCTTCCTTCATGATCATGGAAAACACAAGTTCCTATTATAAAGTCCCATCGAAGAGCACCTCTAACTTGCCAATTCTCAAAAGAAAACTGTGCATTCCCTAATAAACTAGAGCCAGCATAGACTGCAATAAAAGAATTCCCATAAAATCATCTAAAATCTGAGCCCCACTTAATACCTAACCCATGAACTTGAGTACTGAAGATTAGAGTTTTTGAATCCAAGTACAAGTATAAACTGATAATAGTAGGACACTTTAGTTTTATAGTTTTAAACCATGGAAAAGTATGAGAAGCACTTTGGTCCATACCTTCTTTGAGAGATCTAATCAAAATAACCTCATAAGATCAAAATAACGGCAAGTCCAAACCAGCTAACCCCTAAAGGGGAAGGGCGCTACGGCGAAAAAGGAGGCTCCCAACTCCCTCAAAGGGTCAGGACTCCAAGGTAAGCCCTAATCACTTGGGTTGGAGTTCTGGATGCTTTATATGGAATGGCCCACACCAAGCACGCAATTGCCTCAAAAAGCAGCAGTCCTTGAACACCATACAAGCCCAAGCCAGTGAGGATGAGCCCAGGATGGGGGCCCTAAGGCTGCTCAATGTATTGAAGGGGCAAGTGAAGAAATCAATGTTTTGTTGGTTGCTTCTGCCTGCGGCGGGATAGTAGGGGGCAGAGAAATGGTGGTTGATCTTAAAGCGCTTGCATAGGTCTGCGACCCTCTTGCTCTTGAAATTGGGACCATTATCTGACTATTCAAAAATGTCGCGTGCCACGCGACAGTTGATGTTGTGCTTAATGAACTTGAAAGATGCTGGCCTTCCCACCTTTGCTACCTATAGAAAAGATCATGAAAGAGGCGATCAGAATGGCACCCGAATCCATTTACGATCCCGGGTTTCTAGACACATCGCACTTCCACTCGGGTCGAGGCTGCCACTCGGTCCTAAGACGGATCAAAGAAGAGTGGGGAACCTCTCCCTGGTTTTTTGAATTCGACTTTAGGAAGTCTTTTCGCACCATCGACCGACATCGACTCATCCCAATCTTTAAGGAAGAGATTGACGATCCCAAGTTCTTTTACGCCGGACGACTCAGAAAGTCTTTTCCGCCAGACGACTCGTAGGAGGTGAGAAGGGCCTTTACTCCGTCCCACACAGTGTACTACTATTGGCCCTACTAGGCTTTGCCCATGTGTTAACTTTGGCCTTTTCCATTCTCTCTCGCCTTTCTCTTAGCTGGTCCCACTATATCGAAATACTTTTTTTTAAATTTAATGGCAATAATTAACCTTTATTCTATGGTACATCCTTGTAATCAAAGACCCTCTCTATTATGCTTGGCTAGTATATAAAGTTGTCGGGCTGCGACTTCCTTCAAAATGAGGAATGTCTACTTTTAGATCTATGGATATTGAGTGCCGCCTATACCTCCGATCATATTTCTCTTCACTCGACTCATCCTACAGAGCACGATCGTGAAAAGGGTTGTGCTGAACGAACAATACTTCATCTCGCCCACGATTGATGCCTGCAAGCCGCCTTGTAAGTTCTTGAACATGTTGTCTCAAATACTCTCTCCTGATCTCGCTCAACAGGAGGTGGATCCATATGAATACACCTGCCTCAACCTCTATTTGCTGCTATAGGTTCATCGAAATCACAAACCTTAGGCAGAGAACCAACAAAACCTAGCTGAAACCAGCAAGTTCTAGGCTGATTTGGCAAAACTTAGCCCAAAATCAGCAAACCCTAGAGTTGGTTGTAGATTCTAAGCTTTATTGTTGAAGAAATCCTAGGCTCTGATGCCAATGTGATGCAGAGAAATAGAGAAAAGAGGCAAAAACAATTCAAGAAACCATCAAAACTGGCCATATTTTATTGGATTTGGCTTCTTGCACAAAAGAATGAACCCTAGATAGGCTTTGTTGTTACTATTCACAGCCCGTTTTAACTGTTCACGCCTCAAAAAGTATTAGAAACCCTAACACCCCAGGCCTTTTTATTACATTATAATAAAAAAAGATCAAACCTAGCCCCACTTAAGTTAAAATATTATAAAAATTCGCAATAAGCCCCTTCACTTAAAAAAAAAAATCGAAATGATACTTTTATTCCTCATAAACTACGTAATTCTATAAGTATTCTAACAACTTTTCTAAGCCTCTCCTAAAATCCTAAAATATGTAAACAATTCCTAGATTGCCTAAAAAATAAAACTTACAACCCTAAAAAATGACCCTGGAAAATTCAAAAAATACATCCTTAAAATTTAATAAGAAAAATTTGAAAATAAGACGCATCTTGTCCTGCATGTGTGTGTGTGTGTGAGAGAGAGAGAGAGAGAGAGAGAGAGAGAAAGAGAGAGAGAGAGAGTGTTCTTTTACATAATAAGTTATTC